TCAAAAAATGTTAAAAAATTATTATATTAAAAAGTTTCTAATTTTATTCATGATAAAAATAAAAAATTTCAATCACTGAAAAATATATCATAATTTTTCAGGAAAGTGTCAACTCTAAATAATATTGACACAAACATAAAATATTTAAATCTTCACTGTTTCACCAAAACGAGTTTAAGTTGGGTCCGAGTGGAGAGCGAACGAATATGTCGAGAAAAGCAAAATAAGATTTCCGAGGAGTTATAGACTTTCGCCGGGGTCTGTTGGGGAGAGCGGTGAGGCCAGTGCAAAGCAAAGTGCCGATCTGAGCCGAACGCAGCCGAATGTCCGCGCTCGGCTCTAGCTCTATCCCCGCCACACACGCATCAAGAAAGTAAAAATTAGATTGTCGTAGAGGAAGCTATGAATTTCTCCAATTCAACAGATTGATTAAAAAAATGATGAGTTGAAAACTGTTTTAAATTAATTAAATTTTTTTTAAAAAATTAAGAAAATTTTAATTAATTTTAGGTGTAATACTTCATTAACTTTAATTTAAAGAAACACAAAATTTTCTAGCTAAAATAAGAATTTTCAAATTTCATTAATTCTTTAAATTTCAATCAAATCTATACTTTATATATATAAATCGATTCATCTTGACGAAGAAATGAATTTTTTTTTTTCGATTTCTTCAAGTTTTAGGGATAAAAATGACAATAGTTGTACACTATTGAGAGGATGGAAAAATTAAATAAAATTTTTGGTCCCCCTTTTTGTTTGTGAAAAATAAATTTTTAATTTTTTTTTCGAGTTTTAGGGGTGAAAATGACAACTTTCCCTGATGCCTTGGAGGTCCACAATTTTTTCACAGTTGACCACTATTGTGAGGATGAAAAAATAACAATAAAATTTTTGGTCTCGCTTTTTGTTTGTGAGAAATTAATTTATTTATTGGTATTTTTTCGATTATTTTGAGTTTTAGGGGTCAAAATGAAAAATTTCCCCGATGGCATGGGGGTCCACAATTTTTTCACAGTTGTATATTACTACTAGGATGAAAAAATAACAATAAAATTTTTGGTCCCGCTTTTTGTTTGTGAGAAATGAATTTTTTATTGGTATTTTTTTGATTTTTTCGAGTTTTAGGGGTGAAAATGACAACTTTCCCCGATGGCTTTGAGGTCCACAATTTTTTCACAGTTGTCCACTATTGTGAGGATGAAAAAATAACAATAAAATTTTTGGTCCCGCTTTTTATTTGTGAGAAATGAATTTTTTATTGGTATTTTTTCGAATTTTTCGAGATTTAGGGGTGAAAATGACAACTTTCCTCGATGGCATGGGGGTCCACAATTTTTTCACAGTTGTATATTACTACTAGGATGAAAAAATAACAATAAAATTTTTGGTCCCGCTTTTTGTTTGTGAGAAATGAATTTTTTATTGGTATTTTTTCGATTTTTTCGAGTTTTAGGGGTGAAAATGACAACTTTCCCCGCTGGCTTTGAGGTCCAAAATTTTTTCACATTTGTCTACTATTGAGAGGATGAAAAAATAACAATAAAATTTTTGGTCCCGCTTTTTGTTTGTGAGAAATGAATTTTTTATTGGTATTTTTTCGATTTTTTCGAGATTTAGGGGTGAAAATGACAACTTTCCCCGATGGCATGGGGGTCCACAATTTTTTCTCAGTTGTATATTACTACTAGGATGAAAAAATAACAATAAAATTTTTGGTCCCGCTTTTTGTTTGTGAGAAATGAATTTTTTATTGGTATTTTTTTGATTTTTTCGAGTTTTAGGGGTGAAAATGACAACTTTCCCCGATGGCTTGGGGGTCCACAATTTTTTCACAGTTGTCTACTATTGTGAGGATGAAAAAATAACAATAAAATTTTTGGTCTCGCTTTTTGTTTGTGAGAAATGAATTTTTTATTGGTATTTTTTTGATTTTTTCGAGTTTTAGGGGTGAAAATGACAACTTTCCCCGATGGCTTTGAGGTCCACAATTTTTTCACAGTTTTCCACTATTGTGAGGATGAAAAAATAACAATAAAATTTTTGGTCCCGCTTTTTGTTTGTGAGAAATGAATTTTTTATTGGTATTTTTTCGATTTTTTCGAGATTTAGGGGTGAAAATGACAACTTTCCCCGATGGCTTTGAGGTCCACAATTTTTTCACAGTTGTCCACTATTGTGAGGATGAAAAAATAACAATAAAATTTTTGGTCCCGCTTTTTATTTGTGAGAAATGAATTTTTTATTGGTATTTTTTCGAATTTTTCGAGATTTAGGGGTGAAAATGACAACTTTCCCCGATGGCATGGGGGTCCACAATTTTTTCACAGTTGTCTACTATTGTGAGGATGAAAAAATAACAATAAAATTTTTGGTCCCGCTTTTTGTTTGTGAGAAATGAATTTTTTATTGGTAGTTTTTTGATTTTTTCGAGTTTTAGGGGTGAAAATGACAACTTTCCCCGATGGCTTTGAGGTCCACAATTTTTTCACAGTTGTCCACTATTGTGAGGATGAAAAAATAACAATAAAATTTTTGGTCCCGCTTTTTATTTGTGAGAAATGAATTTTTTATTGGTATTTTTTCGAATTTTTCGAGATTTAGGGGTGAAAATGACAACTTTCCTCGATGGCATGGGGGTCCACAATTTTTTCACAGTTGTATATTACTACTAGGATGAAAAAATAACAATAAAATTTTTGGTCCCGCTTTTTGTTTGTGAGAAATGAATTTTTTATTGGTATTTTTTCGATTTTTTCGAGTTTTAGGGGTGAAAATGACAACTTTCCCCGCTGGCTTTGAGGTCCAAAATTTTTTCACATTTGTCTACTATTGAGAGGATGAAAAAATAACAATAAAATTTTTGGTCCCGCTTTTTGTTTGTGAGAAATGAATTTTTTATTGGTATTTTTTCGATTTTTTCGAGATTTAGGGGTGAAAATGACAACTTTCCCCGATGGCATGGGGGTCCACAATTTTTTCTCAGTTGTATATTACTACTAGGATGAAAAAATAACAATAAAATTTTTGGTCCCGCTTTTTGTTTGTGAGAAATGAATTTTTTATTGGTATTTTTTTGATTTTTTCGAGTTTTAGGGGTGAAAATGACAACTTTCCCCGATGGCTTGGGGGTCCACAATTTTTTCACAGTTGTCTACTATTGTGAGGATGAAAAAATAACAATAAAATTTTTGGTCTCGCTTTTTGTTTGTGAGAAATGAATTTTTTATTGGTATTTTTTTGATTTTTTCGAGTTTTAGGGGTGAAAATGACAACTTTCCCCGATGGCTTGGGGGTCCACAATTTTTTCACAGTTGTCTACTATTGTGAGGATGAAAAAATAACAATAAAATTTTTGGTCTCGCTTTTTGTTTGTGAGAAATGAATTTTTTATTGGTATTTTTTCGATTTTTTCGAGATTTAGGGGTGAAAATGACAACTTTCCCCGATGGCATGGGGGTCCACAATTTTTTCTCAGTTGTATATTACTACTAGGATGAAAAAATAACAATAAAATTTTTGGTCCCGCTTTTTGTTTGTGAGAAATGAATTTTTTATTGGTATTTTTTCGATTTTTGCGAGTTTTAGGGGTCAAAATGACAACTTTCCCCGATGGCTTGGGGGTCCACAATTTTTTCACAGTTGTCTACTATTGTGAGGATGAAAAAATAACAATAAAATTTTTGGTCCCGCTTTTTGTTTGTGAGAAATGAATTTTTTATTGGTATTTTTTCGATTTTTTCGAGTTTTAGGGGTGAAAATGACAACTTTCCCCCATGGCTTGGGGGTGCAAACTTTTTTAGCAGTTGTCTACTATTACTAGGATGTGAAAATAACAATAAAAATTTTGGTCTTGCTTTTTGTTTGTAAGATATGAATTTTAATTTCTTTAATTCTATGTGTTTTCGTTATGGGGGTTGAAAGGGGTGAAAAACCGTGTTCCGCGATTACTGAAGGGTTGACGTTTTGTAGGGCTTAATTTTGAGCAAGAAACTTTAAGAAAACGGTGTGACATTTTTGGTCTCGTGAAAAAAATTTTCGACGCTGAGCGTCGACGCCGACTTCAGGGAGGTGAATTATTCTTAATATCTAATGACTTTTTCGACTTTTTTTGGAATGTAAATCGACTAAAACGACTTTTTATATCCCTTAAAGTCGATCCGAAGCCTGTTTATTTAAAACTCTTCGGTTTTTCCTCAGTTTTTTCATCTAACTGTAATTTTTATAATAATAATTATGTTTTTTTTTTTGTTTTGCAACAACAATAATTTCTCAAAATTATATTGTTTTTTAAGATAAATTATTACTTTTAACAGTAACAATTTTATTCACTAAAAATTATTATCACTAAAACTGATGGTCCTGAGTTTTTTTTTTTTATAATTTCATTTTATATTATTTTCTATTTTATTAATAATTTATTACGATGCTGAAGATCACAACCTTTAGGATCAAGAATTTTTAAAGGAATATATTATTTTTTTATGGAAAATTCTATCAATTCTCACCTTCAAGTTATTTCCTGCAATGTTTATTGATTAAAAAAAATTGTAAACCTTTTTTTTTATAAAAAATTAATAATTTTCGGCCTTAAATGATTAGTTTTACAATCGTTGATTGTAAACTTTCTGGACTTCAACATCGTTTATTTATTCAGAATTAACATAAGTCAGGGAAATCAGGGAATTTTATGAAAAGTACTGGAATCAAATTTCTAATAATGCTATTAAAATTATAATTTTTGAAATTTTTCAATTCAAACTTTTGCTTCTAAAAATTATTATCTTAATTTTAATAATTTCCCCCCCCCCCTCCCAAAAAAAAACTTAATAAAATATTGTTTTAATTTTTTATAATTGAAATATTTTCATTTAGAGAGAAAAAATTTTTAAATTATGCCTGGAGATTAGGGAAAAACGAAATAAAATTTTTTGTAACAACCCTGTTAGTTTTAATTATTATTGAAAGAATATGAATTTTATTATTTTTTTAATTTTCAGTGAATCAATTGCCAATAAAGAGAGATTCGCTGGGCGAATCAATTTGTCAGATGAATAGTGAAAAAATCACTAGCTTTAATATGATGCACTACACGCCTTGGCCACAGCAGCAAATAATAATGGACAACCAACGTTATTATGCTCAATATATGGAAGAATTGTCCCACTATCATCATCACCATCATCATCATCGACCTGATCCAATAGATGAGAACAGTGAACAAACGGGAGATGAAATGCACGATACAATGACATCGGCTACATCATGTGATCGTAGTTCAAGCGCTGATCTCTTTAGACTTGAATTTGCTGCCACACAATGGTCCAAACTCGTCTCAAATGCTGAAGGTCTTTTTAATAAACTTATTGTAAGTAATATTTTACCTCATAATGAACAAGATCAAATAGAACAATGGCTTTGCATGAAACAAGAATACGAGGAATGTATCACAAGCGATGATACAGCGAGCTTTCAAGGATTTGCTGACAATGCAAGAAGATCCTTGGAAATAATTGAAGAAGTCACGGAGACTGATGAGAAAACCGATGAATCTGGAAATCGTATGGATTATCGAGATAGATCGGAAACATGTTCAGAAACGGAAAGTGAAATATCTGAAGAAGAAGAGGACGACGAAGACGACGATGATGATGATGATGATGATGTTGAAGACGATGAAGACGAAGACGACGAGGAGGAAGATTTAAGTGATACTAATTCTGAGAATCCAGATTTTATCGAAAGACTCGATGAATGTATAAATAAATTTATAATTGAAACAGATGGCGTTATTGATTTAAATAGAGAAGAATTCCAAGAGATTGGTACTCCAATTCCACAAATATCAAGAAATAATAATGATTCAAGTCCAATAATGAAAGCACCGCCTAAGAGAAATCCAAATATGAGACGAAATTCAATGCTACCTGGTTCGGAAATGTGTAATGGATTATTGGCATTCAATGATAATTTCAAACTTACTCAAGGTCAAAATATTCAAACTGACTCGTCAAGTAGTTTTAATCTTTCGAAAATTTCTGAAACAACACAAAGTTGCAATGAATTGGAATCACGTAATATCAATACTGAAATTGCCATAATTGCCCAATCGGAAAATTCACCAAATTTATTTATGGATGTACTTTTAAATTCCGATACGCCAGGACCAATAAAAGAATTAAAAGCCCTAACTAAAAATAATAAAGCGAAACAAAAGGAAGTATTAAAAATTCAATCGGATCTTGAGGGTGCACACAAAAGAATTGAGGAATTACAATCGACAATTGAAATAAAAGAACGTTTTATTGCTGAAATGATAAAAAATTCCGATACACGATCAAGTGCAAAGCAAAGATTTCATCGTAAACGTACTAAATTGAAGGAGGAATATTATAATACAAGAACACAATTGGCACACGCTGAAAGTGCATTTACAAATAATGAAACTGGCGAGAGATCAACTTATAAAAATGAAATTGAACTTTATCGAAATATGGCATTTCATTATGAAAAGAAATTAATGGATATTGAAATTATACGACAAATTGCTGGTGATTCGGCGAAAAAAGTTCGTAAACTTGAAAATTCTCTTAGCTCATCGAAAAAACAAATGGAGGAATTAACACGACAATTGAAAAAAGAAGAACTTTTGAAAAAACAATTGGAAGACGAAGTGGCTGAGGATCAAAAGAAAATTCGTGATCTAGAAGAGAAATATAATTTAACAGCGTCAAAATTAAAAGAAATACAATCTGAAAGTGAAGATGAAAGAGCAAAATCAAGAAGTGAAAGTTCAAAAAAAAATTTACTTGACGTCAGCGATAGAATATCACATCTTGATCAAGTTTTAAAGAAAAAATCCATGGATCTTGATAAAACAGCCGACACTGATGAGAGAAAAGCATTGAGACTTGAAATTCAAAATTTTCGTGATACACGCGATCGTTTAATTGATGAAAAAACACGTACCACAGTTGATGAACGAAATTTACTTGAATACGATGAGACAATTGAAGTTATTGACACTGTGATTGAACATAAAAATGAAATGATATGCGGTCGAAAATATTTCGATGAAGATCCAAAGGGAAATAAATTTTTGGAAAATTTGGAAAAATTAACCGATGGTGAAATGAAAAATCTCTTTCACACTTATTTCACCAAAGTGATTGATTTAAAGCAAAATCTTCAATCATTGGAAAATGAAAATAATTATTTAAAATATCAATATCAACGTGTTTACAATGGTTTAAAGCAAAATGAAATTGAAGCTGAAAAAAGAGATGTTTTAATGCAAGAGAAATATCAACGACAAATGAATTTAATGCTTAAACAATTTGCGGAGAATTCAAGTAGTTCGGGACATGAGAAAATGGATAATGATTCGGAAATTGCAAGATATAGGAAGGAAATTCGAATATTGAAAAAACGATTACAAGATGTTGAGACTCATTATAAAGAGCCTCCTACCAAAGTAACAAGAGAGAAGAATAAATTGATCATACAAAAAACGACTGATTCTGACAAAAGAAAAAAGTGAGTTCTACAATATAATAGATAGATAAATTCTTTTTGTTTTTCTTTTAGAGAAAAATATATTTTAATTAACTTTCTTTTTGAAGAAAAGTTTATATATTTTATGGTTGGAGATATCTGTGATAAAAGAGTAAACTCAATTTCTGAGATTTCTTTCAATATATAGGTATATATATATTTTTTTTTTCAAGTACAAGTATTTTATTGTACTTTTCATTGCTGTGTGTACTGTTAAGGATTAGTTTTCTGAAATTGATAATTGCAATATTTATATTCCAGATGTAGAAATTATAATAATTCAGTAAAAACAATTATTTCAACTTTTTTTTTTAAATGCGAATTTATTTAACTTTTACAGTGAAAAAAAGGATTAATTGACTTTTTTTTTAATTACCCTACAGTTCTGAATGTTCAAATGAACGAAATAATTTTTTTGGTCAATTTTTTAAAATTCTCTAAATTATTTTTAATAATTTTAATGAAATTCTTCACAAATTCAATTATCTTCAATTATTTTTAATGATTTTTATAATATTCTTCGAATATTCAATTATCTGTAAGCATTTTTCAATTCAAAACTTTTGAAATTTAATTTTTGTCTTTAATTTTTAACAAATTCTAATAAATTCTTCATCATCAAAAATTTCAATTAAAAATCACTTGAACAAAAATATGAATTATAAATCTTTAAAAAATTCAATTATTTAAAAAAAGTTTCAAATAAAAACTCTAAACTTGAATTGATGGCAGAATTTTTTTTTTTTAGAAATTTGTTCTACTTAATTAAAATTTTTAAATTTATGTCATTGATTCTGAAATATTCGAAATAAATTTTCTTGATAATATTCCTATAGAATTATTCTTATTAAGGAATTAATAAAATGGATTTAATATTTAATAACATTAATTATTTAAAGTAAAATGCTTATTAATTAATTATTAAATTTAATTAAAATAAAAAATCGAATTTTTCGACTTTTTTTGGAATTGTAAATCGACTAAAACGATTTTTGGAGAAAATCTATTAAATGTAACAGAGTTTTTAAAAGTGTTTAAAAATTTTTTAGTTATACTTTTTTTAAAAAAAATTTATTAGTTCAAATCTTGAGAATTATTCTAACTAAATTTTATTTTTTTTTTTTTAATAATTGACTCAACAATATTCCATAAATTATTAACTTGTTAGAAAATTTTTCCAAATATTTTAACTTGAATAATTTTCATAAATAAGGCTAGAAAATCTATTTAAAAAATTATAAAATTCTTTTAGAAAAAATTAAATTTTTAGATTAATTTTAAGATTTTTTAAAATTTTTTCTACGGATTAAGAAAATTACAGTTTTCTGTATCTTTTCTACTTAAAATTCATATTTTAACCAAAAGTAATAAAAAGGTTGATAAAAATTCTTTTCTTTTATAACATACGGAATGATTCCTGTTAAATATAATTTTTTTTTCTATTAGTCGACAACGACTTTGATTAAAATATCATGGAATGACTCAGAAATATTATTTATTTATTTTAGTTTTAAGAAAAAATACTGTTTAGGTATTTACTTAAAAACAAAAGAATTGAAATATTTTCTACCTGGAATAACGGAAAAATGTTTTACTTGTCTAAATAGCAATTTTTCCAAATGAAAAGTGAAAAAAAAAATTTTTTTTCTTCACTGACAAAATAAACATTGCAATTTTTATTTTCTTTTAATTTCTATATAAAATATACCCTTGATCTTAAAGTTTTGAACGTTCCAAATGTTAAAAATGAAACAAACAGAAAAATAATTACGAAAATAATTTTTAAAAATAAATGAATCATAGCGTGTTGGGTAAGTGACTTTTTTTTTGAAGTACTTTTTGAAGTATTTTTTAAAATTCCGTAAATTACTTTTAAAATAATTGCTAATAGAGGAAAATTCTTTTTAAAGAATTTAATTTTGTATAAATTTTAAGAAATTTTTAAGAAAACGTTTTTTTAAAGTTACCCAACACTGTAATAAATAGTACTTATAGCAAAATGAAAATATGCATAATACACATCGATTTGTAATTTTTTGATATTTAATAATTTATTAAATTACAAATTATAATATTATTATTCCTAAATTATAATTTAAAAAAAAAACTCAAATGAAATTAAAAATTTTTTTAATTGATAAAAGTAAAAAATTGTAATTATTTGGAAAGATATAATAAATCTTGAGATTTTAATGAAGAAGAGAACATAATTTGTTAACAATTAAAAATTTTTAACATTGTTTTTCAATAATATTGCACAGTTTTTGAAAGAAATTTATATCAGCCTTAAAGATTTTTCGCTGATAGTTTATAGATAAATATACTAGTCCTTAGGCCTAATCCTTTATTAAAAAAAAAAAAAAATTATTTTCTAATTTCTATATTATAAAAGAGAAAACCGATTTAAAGTTAAAATTTCAAATTGATAACAAATTAAGTAATATTATTAAATGTTTAGTCGTAAGTTCATTATCACATTTTCATCGTGTGTTCCATTTAAAAATTAGAAACAGAATCATAAAAAATATTTATAACCAAAAGTTAAACAATCAACATATGTTATAAAAAATTACAAAACAATATATACATGATACTGTTCAAATTACAGTTAAACACTGTAAAAAAGCGTTGTTAAATTGCTTAAAGCAGATTTAAAGTATCTATCAAACTTTTTGGCGTAATAATTATAAACTAATTAATTATATAGATTATAACATCTATATTAAATTAAATGTCTATTCAATATCATTATTGCGACAATAAGACAAACAAAATATGTTTCTTTTAAAAAATTACGATTGAAATTTTTTCATTAGAATTTAATTATAAATTATCTTCAGTTTTAAATCTTCAAAAATACACATAATATTATAAGGTGTGTTTAAATAGTTTTATTAATTAAAAAATTTATTTTTTAATGACTGAAAATATATGTATATTTTTAAATTAATTTTTTTTCGACTGAATGAGTTTATGTAACTATTTTGCAACGTTTATAGGAGAAATTAATTTAATTAATTAATTTAAAAAGTAATTTAAAAATATATTATATATAATTAAATAAATAAATATATTATATATTATAATATTTTTTTTTTCAAAAAAGTGTGCTTCTAATATTGTTAAATGTTCTTATCTATAAACGTTGCATATTTTATGATATTTTAGTTTTATTAAGATTTTTATCTAAGTTTAGTATTCTTATGTAAAAAGTAAAATCTCCAAATTGTAAATTTTTTTATTAATCAAATGTCTCGATAATTGATTGTAAATTTTGTAAATTTTTGAAAGATTTGATTAATTTTTAAAAATAATATTATATGTCAAAAATTAATAACAATTGTGTAACGTTAGGACAATTTGTGAGTTTTTACTGTATTTTTATTTTAATGTGTGAATATATTGTATACTTTAATAATTTTCTAAGAGAAATATTATAATTTGTAAGTTTTGAATTTAATAGTAATATTTTTCAATTTGTGCAGTGATTTTTTTTTACTATATTTATTGTAATCTTTTGTAAATAAATGTATATTATATATGATTAAATCAAATTTCGTTTATTTTGCCAATGATACCTATAAATATTTACATTATTACAGGCCTCGGATCGACTTTAAGGTATAAAAAAAGTCGTTTTTAGTCGATTTACATTCCAAAAAAAGTCGAAAAAGTCATTAGATATTAAATTCATTTTATTAATTCTTTAATGAGAGAATAATTCTATAAAAATATTATCAAGAAAATTTATTTCAAATATTTCAGAATCGAACTAATTTTATGACAAATTTTCAAAATTTTATTTAACTAGGACAAATTTCTAAAAAAAAAACCCTTAAAGTTTCATTTTTATAATTTTTTGAATTCTGATTTAAGCAATTTATTCGAATTAAAAATTTTGTCATAGTTTTTAATTTTTATAGTTAAAAAAAAATTTCAGGCAATACTTAATCAAGTTTTACAGATTTTTAAATGAAATTTTTTTAAAATAATAATAATTTTGAAAGAGTTAAAATTGAAATTTTTAGAAATATAATTGAATTTCAAAAGATTTTGTTAATTTTCAGACAATAATTAAATTTTACAGAAGTAAAAATAATTTATCAAATATTTTTAGATATAACATTTTTTAAAAGTAATTGAATTTTCAAAGATTTACAATTTTGATTTTTAAAATTAATTGAACTTCAAATAATATTTAATATAAAATTTTTGATGATTTTTGTTACTAAAAAATTTATTAGAAATTACAGACAAAAATACAATAATCTGAAAACTTTTTAAGTGAAAAATGGTTTCAGATAGTTGAATTTTCGAAGAATATTTTATTTGATAATTTTTTTTTAAATTATAAGCAATTATTAAATTTCAAGTCATTTTAAATAAAAATTTTTTGATAATTTTATTTGATAATTTTTTTTTAAATTATAAACAATTGTTAAATTTCATAAAAATTTTAATTGAAAAATAGTTCAAGATAATTGAATTTGTGAAGAATTTCATTAAAATTATTAAAAATAATTAATTTAGTAAAGAATTTTTTTTAGTTAAAAATTTATTAAATAATTGAAATAAAGAAGATTTGAAGAAGATCTGCATTGTATACTAAAAAACGTATTTTGTTTAAAAATTTTGTAAAAAAAATGTAAAAAAAGTCGAAAACTCGCATTTTATTAAAATAAGTCGAAAAAAGTCGTATAATTCGAGGTCTGTTGTTATTATTATTATTTATAATAAAAAAGTTAAGAAAAAAAGGTACTATGGATTTTTTAAAATAATAATAATAATAATAATAATAATAATTTAAAATTTCAAGGAACTTAAAAAATTTATTCTTATGGCAACACTAAAAATGTATTTTGTAAATCAAATTTTACGAGTTCTTATTTAAGCCATTTTTCTAATTTGATTTTGTTAATGCAATATAATGAAAAATGTTTATTAATATTTAATTATATTTCAATATTATTTATTTTTTTATAATTTTTGTCCAAAACGAATGTTTTTTCGACAAATAACGAGTTTTGCAGGAAAAAAAATCTTCATTAGTTTTCAAGAAAAATTTGAATTTTGTAAAAAGTAAACGGTGCTCAAGTAAACGTTTATGATAAACAATTTTTAAAGAAATAATTTTTTACAATAAAAAATTTTATAAATTTTTTCCTGAAATAAATTTCTTTATTTATTCATCAACAAATTATTAAAAAAATATTATTTTTTTAATTAAACTATTTTATAATTTTCCGTGTTAAATAAAAATTAAGTACTAATCGTTTATCATAAACGTTGCGAACTTCAGCATCGTAAAAGTAACAGTTTTTATTTCACTTGATCACAAACTTTCTAATAGTAATAAAAAAAAATATTAAAATTTAAATAAAAATTAAAAATTGTAGATAAAGTCAAATTCTACTTTATCTTTTGTAAAGTAGGTATTGCTATAAATTGAAAGCATTCAGCAGTTTCCGTAGTGTAGTGGTTATCACGTGTGCTTCACACGCACAAGGCCCCCGGTTCGATCCCGGGCGGAAACATTTTTTAAAAATTTTTATTCTTGATTTACA